AGGAGCAAGGAATTCTGAAGGAGAATCAAGCGATCTCTGTTCTACCCAGCGTCTCTCCCCTCTCCTGGCTTAGCCCTAGCGTCACTTACCAGCTGTTTTTTGAAGCTTTGTTTAACCTCTCCCCTATAAGGCCATGAGCGCCAATGCAACTTTAAGTGGTACCTCTCCGGCCCAGGTGTAGAAAAACGCACTGGAGAACTGAGAAGCTCTATACAGATGTTTCCCAGAATGCTGTTGTGAATCAAAACAAACTTTGGCCTGAACGCGTCACCAGAGTCAACCCTGCGTTGCGCAGTTCGCAACGGCACGTTGAGAGATCCTCAACGCACGCTGTATGGGCGGAGACGCAGACGGCTCGAGCATGCGAGTGTGAATGTTCGCGCGAGAGAACGTGTCTAATCGGGCGAAACTGCGCAACGTGGCCGTTGAAAACTGCGCAACGCAGGGTTGACTCTGCTCCAGCCGCCCCGGTTAAGCAAAATGGGCGGGTGCTAGTCCCGTCTGGGCGAAAGTTTTGTTAACAGTCCACATTTTTGTGAAACATGCAAGGCGAACAGCGGCCTAAACAGCAGTTCACAATCAAAAACAAGTCAAAATTGCTTTATACAGAATTTTTGTGGTAATTTATTTCAGCTCCACAAGCATTTTAAATACCTATTGGCGGTAGAAAATGGAAATATTGGCAACGGTGTGAATTGTAATTTTCAAAGTACTGCTAAATTTCGTGCTGAATAAGTACAGGGTACGCAAAATTAACAAGATAGTGTGTCATGGAAAGCAATCGGCCAGGAAGACACACGTGGACACCAACAATGTATTCATAGAAGGTCACCAGACAGAATACAACATCACTTCTTGGACTGGCCGCTGTTTGCGTTTATACCTGAATGAAGTCATCTCGGGAACGCATATGGCCTGTTGTGTAGGTAGGTGACATCGAGCTTACCCTAGGATCTTCTTTTATCATCGTATGCTTAATGATCACTATCCCTTCAGTAGAGCTCTACGCGTAAAATAACCCACTTGCTTTAAAAGGAGAATAAGGCGCCACTGATTAATGTCATGAATTGAAAATCAAATTTGTTTGGCGTACAGCGGTCTATCTTGTGTGTGTCGATGATTTTCTCTCCGTGTTCTGTTCGCTTGATGCGGTTATGTAGGTAGAATGAGATCGTGATATTTCTAGCTCTCGTACCGTAATTCTTTGCCGCCACCTAGCTACATTAATAAAGTAGAGTGTTGATAGTTGGCCTAAACTGTGAACCTGAGGACCTTAATTTTAAGATGCGGACGCATAAAAAAACAGATGAAACGAGATCGCTTTAGCGAGAAAGAAGGACATACACTAGCGGTCAAAAGTGTTCGCCGAAATGGCTCTTAGCGCAGTACCATTTTTTCTTTCAAAGATAGCTTTGCAATTGACTGCAATTTTTTCTTTTCAACATCTTGGACGTTCAAGATTCGAGAATTAGAAAAATACCAAAATACGTAGCATACCACTTAAAAGCAAATTCTACTAAGGAGTGAAAACAACGCACGAGAAACTTGCTCGGCGAAAACTTTTGACCGCTACTATACTAACCAGGAAAGGCATTAAACTTCCCATGGAACTTTAAATTGAAGCCCAGACGTATCGACAGAGACAGAGTTCAAACGCCTGATTACAAATATGGAGGCTAGCTTGCAAATGCACCTGCCAAGGAAGTTGTGACCAGTCCAAGTTGGCTGGAAGTAAAGCGTTACGTATTAAAGGTGCTAGCCTACGGATTTTCAAACTCGCCGTGAAAGTAGTGGTAGTGCTCTCGAAATTTGCATTCCAAAGGGAACAGAACTTATGACCTTGATGAGAATGAGGGCTACTACTCCGCGGCAACTCTGCAACCCTGGGGTCCAGCGCGGTTCATATGCAACGCTCTACTCAGGCCAAATTTGACTGCTCACAACTTCCTTGTCAGGTTCATTTTGCAGTTTCAGCTTCCATATTTTTATTGCGATCAGCGTTTGAAGCTCTATCGATACATCTGGCTCCCAATTTAAAGTTCCATGGGAATTCAAGGCCTTCCCTGGTAAGTTGCAAGTATTAGCAGGAATCCAGTGTTAGCAGGTGAGTAGCGTCATGCATTTTGCCCTCCTACGGAGTGGTGTGATTGCTCAGAACGTGGAAAGTCAACCAACTTGATTGTTTTCTATTTTTTGACAACCTATTTGCAGTTACAGGCTACCTTGAAAAGCGGGTTTAGGGCTGCAGTCCGTTCACTTAGAATCATTAAGATGTACACTATACTAGAACTAGTGGAGAAGCCGACACTGCCAAAGCGCAGATACGCATGAAAGCTCACGTGAATGGCGATGCTTAGCCGACTTGATTTGATCAGCGTCGCCATGTTCTAGGGTTTGCTGGCGCTGCTCTCTTCGTTAGAACGATGCTCTTGAATGAAGCGAAACAATTTCAAATTCACTTTCTGGGGTCGCTATAATCCGATGTTTGAAAGCCGATATTGCCTTGAGGTGGCTAAAACATCTCAGCCAGCTCAGCATGGTTTCAGTTTTAGCGCAAACACTGTTGAAACCGATTTTCAACGCATACTCCTTCACTAGTGGAACCACGTGTCTTTTTTGGTGATCTGGGTCTTTTAATCACATAAAGAAGTACAGGTGGAGCTATAATATAACCTGGACACGGTATAGTGAATGCAAGAGACCAGTGAGCTTTCCATCCTTCCTGGGGCAGTTGAATAGTACCGGATCAGCGATAGCGATAGTAGAGGTCCTGAGTTGTTCATTGGCTGTCTACACAAGTAGTTCTGGACGAAACCTTTCGAATGCCACTATGATTCCAAAGGGTAAGTCGAATGCGAGGAGAATCTTCGAAAGAGATTGTTTCACTATGGGGCTATACTTCATTTTCCAAATATTCCAATACAATTATTTTTGACATCTAGGACTTTCCAATTTGGGCTTCTCTACTTTCCAAGACCGATGTCAGACTTTGCGAATCAGCGACTAGCTAGCGTCCGCGGTCACGTCGCGTACAGCAAATCGAGCCATTCGCTGTACGCGACGCGACCGAGAACGCTACGAATCGCTAGTAGCTCTTTCTTAAGCCGGAATCGCTCGATTCCGGCCTAAGAAAGCGGTTGCTCGTTCCATGGTGCCTGTGCAGAATGCAATCTAGTAAGTATGTTTGTCTTTATGTCCCCAACGCCTCGACGCGCACATTTACGAAGTGGCGCGCAATTGCTGACGCAAATCTCGGTCCTCTGTCCTCGGCCGGGCGCGTAATGTCCCGCCGTACCTGCGCCTCCACCAGCTCCCACGCTGAGTGAGTGCCTCCAACCAGCTGTCGTGACGGGCAGTTCTGCGCGCGTGCCATGCGCGAAGAGTGTATACGTCTCGGTGCGGCCGGTATCAGACTTTGCGAATCCAGCGATTCGCTTGCGTATCGCGAGGTAGGAAGGAGCGATCCACCAGCGAATCGAACTGTGTACAGTGGTTCGAGCGATGCACCAACGACTCGACACTGTTTGAAAAATGGCGGGAGTCTCTTTGAAGGTTGGCTCTCGCCACTTTCCCGGGCTCACGAGGGCATGAGATCTCGAGAAAGTAACGAGAGTCAACGTGCAAACGTGAGGAAGTCCCACCACTTTAACGACATAGTCGAGTCACTGGAACATCGCAAAAACTGCTGGTACGTTGTTCGAGCACTTTTACACAGTTCGATTCGCTGGTGCGGCGTTCGCACCCCGCGATTCGCTAGCCACTCGTGGATTCGCAAAGTCTGACAACCATCTTGACAGTGGCCGGAGGTAGCCATCTGCTATCACAGAAACTATAAAAAGCCTTATTTTAATTTGTTCCAAGGCGTATTACTTTTTAAACTTTTCCTTTCAAGATCTGGCTTTTATGCATTGAACAACGGCCGGCTTTCATAGTGTGCTGTAGGACAATATACACAATTGTGTTCCTGAAACGACTTTGAAAGGAAGGTAGATGCGTGGCGATTTGGCATTGAAGAACGCCGAGAATAACGAATTTTTTCAATTTTTTTAAAAATAAGATGTGAATATCATGTTGGCCCTTCTCATCTCGTTCGTGACTCTTCAGGGCTTGAGAACGGTGTATGATCACTCGGATGAAATACCGCGCCATCTGCTCAGATCTACGGCTTATAAAATATCTAGGCTTGTTAAAGGTATGGCCTAGGATCAAGTTGGTGTGGTTTTTGCACACGAATGCGAATGTATTGGTGGGAAATGGGCCGGCAGTAAAGAAAAAAGGAAAAGAATCCGTCAAAAACGCTCAGGTTAAGGGCTCACTCACCTTCGTAATCGGCTGTGCTAAGGCAATGAGAGACTGAGCGCGAAGATGAGAGAGTGCCAGACAACAGCCTGCTACAGACGGGGAAAACTGAAGCTATTGCAGCGGTCTTTGCAAGGTTCCAGCGTTCTTAAAACCTATATTTGATTGTCCTCTAAGGTTATATCCTACAGACCAATGGGAATTATTTGCACGACTTCTGCTTGATTTATGTGTTTAACTAGCCCCACAAATTTGTTCATACTCTGCTAATGCTAATGCAACAACAAGTATGAACGTGTGGGCCTTCTTGTGACACGTACGCGCTGCGAGCGTCCTGACACGCCCACTAAAAATTCTTTTCCCTGAGAAAATATTGAAATATAGTTTATAGGGTCGCTAGAGAACAACAACAACAGGTTTTTCCCTGATACTTCCTGTTAAGATCATAAAGATTAACAATACATGTCATCAAATTTATAGTATTAAACGCATAAATTAAAAATCAAATTCAAATGTGTACAGACAACAAAAAAAACGACGTCGTATCACTGAGATGTGGCGAATGGCGTGGTGACGGAACGAGACGCGCACGCGATTTAGTATAAACCCGAGCCGTGTCGCCGCCGAACAGTCAGGTAGTCAATCATACAACGCTCATCACGGGCTGAGAATCATTGCAGATATCTTTCTATCCAGATTGTTTAATGCTTCCTCTTGTTCTTATATTCCTCGGTGGGCTGAAATCAGAATTAGCATAAGAAACTTGATGAACTAAACGGATATGTTACAGTAATCTTGGTAAGCTTGAGTAAAATCATCTTACCGCGCTGGTAACAACGTCATCGTATTCTTCTCCAGTTTCCTGGTCAACTCCATCGTCGCCTTCCTCCACCGTTTCCTCTTCATATCCCTCAGGAGCATCGGTTTGTGTGGGTGGCTCATATGGAGCGGGTGTTCGTGCTGGCGGCACGTACGGCGCTTGAGTCTGGACTGGTGGCTCGTATGGTGCAGACGTTTGCGCTGGTGGCTCGTATGGTGCAGGAGTTTGCGTTGGTGGCTCGTATGGTGCAGGAGTTTGCGCTGGTGGCTCGTATGGTGCAGGAGTTTGCGCTGGTGGCTCGTATGGTGCAGGAGTTTGCGCTGGTGGCTCGTATGGTGCAGGAGTTTGCGCTGGTGGCTCGTATGGTGCAGGAGTTTGCGCTGGTGGCTCGTATGGTGCAGGCGTCTGGGCTGGTGGAACGTATGGAGCGGGAGTTTGTGCAGGTGGTGGAACAAACGGAGCTGGAGTCTCAGCCGGTTGTGGTGCTATTGGCTCTTCTTCAATGTTGTTCTCTGCTGGTTGTTCCTCCTCATCGTATTCCTGTTCGTCGTATTCAGTAGCCTGCTGTGGTTCCGAGGCTCCGTTGACTGCAGGAGCTTCCGGTTCAGGTTCAGGTTGAGGTGCTGGTGCCGGTACCTCGACCTGGGTTGCTGGCTGATCAACTGATGGAGCTGGTTGGACCAGTGTGGGCTGCTCCGGTTCGGGTTGTTGAGGTGCAGGTTGCTCCGGTGCTGGTTCGTTAGTCTGGACTTGAGCTGGAGCTTGGTAATTTGACCCACCGGTCTGAATATTGAACAATTAGCAGTAGTACAGTAGTTGGAAAGAATAGCGACTAACCTGGACTTCGGTAGCTCCTTCAGAGGTGTCGACGACCTGACCTTCAGATGGTGCAGGACCGGCCGGAGCAGGTGCAAATTGCTGTTCGGGTGCGGATGGTGCTACTTGGGCTGGTGCGTAGCCTCCGGCCTGACCACCCTGACCTCCTTGTCCAACGTCAGAGTAGGCACCTCCTGATTGTGTAGGACCTCCTCCAACCTGAAATATCTGTAGTAATGGAGCGACTCCAACAGTCAAACTTTCACTTACCGGCCCGTTGTAAGCAACTTGTTGACCTCCTCCTTGTACTCCTTGATATCCTCCACCACTGGGAGCTCCTCCGTAAGATCCTCCTCCACTGGGAGCGCCTCCGTAGGAACCACCACCGCTAGGAGCGCCTCCGTAGGAACCACCACCGCTAGGGGCTCCTCCATAAGAACCACCTCCGCTGGGAGCTCCTCCGTAAGAGCCTCCACCACCATATGATGGTGGTGGTGGTGGTGGCGGTGGTGGTGGTGGAGGCGGTGGAGCTGCGTATCCTGCTGGAGCTCTTGGGTAACTTGCGCCAGCGGACGCGTAACTCGAGCCAGAGGACGCATATCTAAAATTTCTTCATTCAGGGATATCTCGAGCTTTATGGTTCCATTCATATATATCAGTTCGGTCTCCCATTTTCCAAATCCCCTTCCCCATCCACATCGTCTCATAATACATAAGCTATGTGGGCAATACCCATCAGAAGTTCGAGCCACGTTGGGCCCATTTGTGCTAGCCCTGCGCCATATACCTATTTGGTATGTGTACGTTTCACTTCGCATGTGTCGGAGGGTGAGCGGACAAGTTTTTCGAGATGATGGACGTCGCCACTGAATAGCAAATCGAATCGGCTGAGATCGCCGCCGATGGAGGCTGGGTGGCACCTCAAGAACCGGGTACATCACGACCGCTCACGGATCGCTAAGATAAGCCGCAGTGAC